ATACCACGAAAGAAAAAACTACCTCCAAAATATATCCACAATATCGAAACCTTAGAAGACGAAACAACTACATCATCATCGATGGCTACATCAAAGTCGATTGAAAGAAAACTTTGGAGAAAACGGCATATTGGAACATATTAGAAGAAAATAAAGTTGATCAAAGATAAAAAACAATAAAAAGAACATAATAATCACTGCCAAAGAAAGCATGGGATCACGGAAGGTTAATGTAAATGGTGAAGGAAAGCTTAAACCATGGTTCACCATTGAAATTCAAACTTTCGCCTATGAAAAACGAAAAGCGTATATCCATTATCAAAATAATAAGATACCCATAAATTAGCAACACTATATAACCGCACGAAATAATGGCAAATAAGTAATCTAAAGAAGAAATATTGATCTAAATTCATAAAAGAAATGGAACGTGATTTATACTATGTACAACGAAAAGTGTAAAAGTAAAGAGATGGAAAAAAGGTATTAACGAGTATAACAACATAAAGATTATGCATGAAGAACGACGGAAAAAGTATGTAGAATAGCTTTACAGGGACGATACGATTGCAAATGAACTACTAAAATACGGAGAAAGAGGATTAACAGAAAATATTACGGAAACTACTCCAAAAGATTCTTGAAATGAAAAGCGTATCAAAGAACTGAAAATCAAGTATAACGATCCCTATACATAAAAAAGGGGTAAAAAAGGACCCATTCCACTATCAAACTATTAAGTTCGAGACATACAAGCTATTCGCATACAAGGTACTAAAGCAGCGTACGTATCAGGATGCCTACGAGTCGTGAAATGAAGAAATAAGAACATAAAGATAGAAGGAAAAACGCGTATTTGTAAGACTTGTGTACAACCGATAATAACCTATGCTATAGAAATAAGAGCAGAAACAACAATTACGAAGAAGATCTTAATAACAAGACAGATGAAAACACTAAGGGCTATAGCACGCAAAACTTTAAGAGTAAAACTTAAATTTCTACTACATAAATCAGTGACATGTGGAAAGTACATGATATCGTCAGATGGAGACGCCAAATAAGACAAGAATAGAACCAATATATTAAAAAAATTAAAAGAGAGAGTCTTGTCCAAATAATAGGCGATGTAAAAAGACCCTCCCCATCTTTTAGGGGGTAAAAGAACCACTAAAGATAGAGAGACAGCAGGTAATTAACATTGAAAACTAAATCAGACCGGAAACAACAAGCCTTACGGTCTATTATACAGAAAAATGTCTATCATAATTTCTGTATTTTAATAATTTTTTTGTGCTCGAAGCCATTTTTTAGGTATATTGTGGGTTTTTTTTTGAGTGGGGGAGAGAAAAATATATCATCAATTAGTAAGTTTACTATTGCCTTGTGCGGGGTTTTCTTTAGTTGACAGAGCTATGATTATCTAGATTTTATATCTAGGACAGTATGTGCTGTTTTGCTACTTAGTGCTTCCATCGATGGAACTGAAACGTATCGTACCCTATTATCTCTCGCAGTATCGATCTTGGGTAGTTCTCTAGCTCATAATAATGTTACCTTTATTTCTTTTAGTAAACGTTCAACAACGTATCTGGGTCAATTTGCAGCTTATCTGAGGTTGTTTTGAGCTGCTTGTATTCTCTTTTTGTTGGTGTTATGTATATCCATTTATGAGAGATGTAAAAATGTAATTATTGGTAGTACGATACTGTTGATCAATATTAGTTTTGTTTTTATTCTTTATTTTTCTAGTTGGCTTCCTGTGAGTCCTTTTTTGCAGCTGTAGCTGTTATTTTTTTTAATTGCTTTTGAATTGCTTCGTTGATTTTGAATTGTTTTCACGTGCTTCGTAAATATTAGTCCTAGGTCTGCTATTACTTCGGTGTATTTCGTTTCTCTTTTCCATTCGATGGCATTGCTTTGCACTGTTAGGTGTTCTTCTGGGTTTTCTCTTTTCGACACTTGTGTCTTTTTTAAATTTATAGCCATTTTCCAGTAAATACTTCATTCTTTTTTGTTATTTAATACTGTCTGTAGAATATTTACGGCTATATCTAAGTATATCTGTTTTTGTTCAATATATGTATCGTCTTCATAAATGCTGAGTAGTGTTCCTAGTATTCTTGGGACATCATCGTTGTATATTGTGTACAGTAGGTACAGCAGAACCGCTCCTGTTTCCCTTCGGCCTCCAGAGCAACGCCTTCAGATAGGACTTGTCCTATCGGGACCCTGGCTACCACAGTTCAAAGAGATTTTGTATTGGATATACATTTTTTAGAATTTGTTTAATAATCTTTTTTTAAAAACAATTTTCGGAGTGAAAATCAAAACGTTAAACATTCGTTAATTAAGATTGTGATTTTCATTAAAACCAATAATTGTGGCTTAATTTCTATATGAATAATATTTAAACGAAGAGAAGATTAGTCTAGTTATGGCCCAGTTGTATCCGCATTTTCTCATTTTGTACGTAAGTCCTTTATGCCATACTCTATCCAAGGTTTTGCTAACATCCAGGAAAGCTGCTACTATTTATTGCTTGTCGATAAGTATATCTGTTATGTATTCTATTCGTCTAAGTGCCTACTTGTAGTTCGCTGGAGTACTTTGCTCTGAATTCAAACAACTGAGCTTCTGGGATTAGTTCTAACATGTCTGTTATTAATTGTAGTCTGCTTAGTATAACACTTTTTAAAATCTTGCTGACTGCTGTAAGCTAATCGGTCTGTAGATCTGCGCAAACGTGTTCTTCTCCTGGTTTCTAGATAATGATGCCATGGACTTCATTCTATCGGTTTGGGAAGTGCGTGTATCTAAGTATTGCATTTGTTATGTTGGATAAAAATACAAGTGCTCTTGCATTTTGATACTTTGAAGCTCTTTATGTGATTTCATCTCGACCATGTGCTTTTGTTGGTGAACTATTTTTGTTAGTTCACCTATTTTCCGTGGAGGCGTGGATATGATTATTCCGTCATGTTAGTTGGATATTTCTCGGCGTTTTTGAATCCTCTAAAGCAGTATTCGTGTTCGTCTTGACTAAATTGGTAAGAAGTGCAATTCGTTTATATCTAGAATTAGACAAAAGAATAAATCAATTTAAAATTTTTAAACACATATTTAAAGAAAAATACGCAAGCCCTTATACTATTCAAAGATACTAAGTATATACTAAGCTATTTACTGCGATTGATGTTATTTTTGTATCTGTATTATATCTTATTTTTATTCCTTTATGTTAACTAAATTCCTTATACCTTTCTTCAAAAAGAGAGACAAATCGAACTCGGAAAATTACAACACTAAAATTAACAATCAAAGTGATAATAAATAAATTGAATTAAAATTAGAACACTAGCATAAAAACAACAAGGTTTTAGGTCGGGAACATCATGCACCGACGATATATTTATAATAAGGCAAGTGCAAGAGAAATCATTAGAATACAACAAACCGGCATATGTACTTTCGTGGACCTTACAAAGGCATTTGACCAGGTCAAATTAAAATAAGTAAGTTATCCACTTACTGTACGCAAGAGAGATATCTCTAGGAATAATTAAAACGATCAAAAATATCTACCAAAACAACACTATAAAAGTAAAAGTAAAAGAAAAACTAACTGACTCTATTGAAGCTGGAATGGGATAAGACGGGGAGATTTCCTAAATCCTCTATTATTCAACCTGATTATGGATGAAATATTAAAAAAAGTAAGAACTAAAAAAGAATACCAAATGGAAGAAAAACAACTTAAAATAATCTGCTATGCAGACGATGCAATACTATTCTCTCAAAGTGAATATGATTTACAACGTATGCTGAAAAAATTTAATATAACCGCCAGAAAATTTAACATGTTAATTTTCCCAACAAAGACAAAATGCATGGTTACAACAGCAAATTTACTAAGATGTTAATTGGAGCTAGAAGGTCAGATAATAGAACAAGTGATGGAGTTTAAATATCTAGGCATTACATTATCTAGCTACGGAAAGTTCGAAACCGAAGTGAAAGACCAAGTGAATAGATCAAACAGAGCCGCAGGCTCTCGAAATGAAACAATATGGAGGAATAAAAATATCGGGAATGAAATGAAAGGCAGAATTTACAAAACAGGCATTAGACCAATAATAACATACGCGGCAAAAACAAGACCTGACAAAAAGAGGACAAAAAGGATGTGAAAAACAGCAAAGATATAAACACTTAAAAAAATTGATGGTAAGATACTATGGGACAGAGCTAGAAGTACAGATATACTGTATGCAAGATCTACTGTATGATAGACATAGATGCAAAGTGGAGAACATCAAAAACTTTGTAAGAAATAGAATAGGAGAATGGAACAATCATATAAGCCAAATGACTACAAATAGAGTAGTAAAGACCATGAAAACGATGGAATATTAACTTACTGGAGGCACATTGAAAAGCAGACAGAGTCATGTCTACGTCATGTCTATATAAAATGAAGAAGAAGAAGATGTTATCTAAATTATGTGTTCGTAACATTTAGTAAATATATAAATCAAGGAGAGATCTAATTATGTCTTACGTAATGTAAGTGACGGGAAGTTGAATATAATAATAAAATGGGACTAAGCAGTATGTTTTATTGACATATATAACATTATTAAAAAAAATACCTACAAAACTATGTACATAAAAATATTCTATTCATCGCATAAATAATACTTTCGGAAACAGCTGTCTTTATATTACAACGAAAAAACGACATGAAATAAAAAGTTTGTAATCATTTAATCTTAAATTAAATAATATTTATTATTGTATCCTAGCAATAAAAATATATATCACTTAATTATAATATATGTAATAAAAGTATAGTCAAAGTATAATTTCCACAATGGTGCAGCATGAAATAATATTTATTTAAATTTTAAAAGTAATATAGAGGATCAGCTGTTTTTACTATATTTTTAAGAAGTCGGAATTATAATGTATATATATTTATGGAAATATTCTTTTTAAATGTAGCATTTAAATTTGCTACAAAATATAAAATTTGATATATTTTTATGATAGTCTGTTTATAGATATATTCGTTTATAGTTATTCCCAAAGTTTTTTAAAATGACTGTTACTCCAGGATTCACTAACATGTTTAAAGGAACTTTACCTCAATTATCTGCAGTACTAGCAGGTTTGTATAATATAGTTTATATATGTATATATATATATATATATATATATATATATATATATATATATATATATTCAAAAAAAAAAATGGATTCTACATCATTTACTTAATTGTTAATAGTTCATGTTAGTTTTAATAAAACTAACATGCTTTAGATAAATATATTTTAAATAAAAATCTATGCATGAGTATTATTTAACTGTAACTGTTTATTTCTTACTATTTCGTTTATTATCATGTCTATTTCTCTATTGTTGTTGAAATAATTCAATTTTTGTAATAAGAAGGTCAATAGTAACATAAAATGACTAATTAAGCTTACCGTAATATATGCAAAATAATAGAATATTGAAAATAATATTTTATTTATTTTTATTATAGTATTTTATTTTTTAATGAATAATAACAAGTAAATTAGTATCTAGAAAATTTTATTTTAATAGTTTTAAAATTTTATTTTTGCCGGTTATTTATTTCCTGTTTTATTAATATTATTATACAGCTCAACAGGCCCTAGAAGTCCATGGTTTTTAATTTTTTTATTGATTTCTTCCATTTTCTTTTGTCCACGGCCCCAGTTCTCAAATATGTTATCCCGATTGCTTGTAGGTCTTCCTTATATACTTTTTTTGTAATCGTACTCTTCTCTTCTTTCCTTCTCCTCTCAGCAGCGAGTTCTTTGTTCCTTCTTCCTCTCGAAATCCGCTTTTCATTGTTTTGACTTTCTTCTCCTTTAATTTTTAGGGTTACTTCTAGATATTCAAACCTTGTCACCATTTTGAAGCAATACTCTTTACTCTCGTTGTTTGTGGTAGTCCATTATTATTCAGTCCATACTGTTTCCCCTTCGTTTCAAAATGAAAATCCTTAACACTTCCCCTTTAGTTCATGCTAATAACACCACATTGTCCGTAAAGGCCAGAACCTGGCTTTTGTTGTCATAAATCACACCTTCTGTTCGTATTTCACTCTCTTTTTCTCATTATTGTCTTCAGCAAAAAACTGAAAATTTTGTAAACCAGCGGATTTCACTGCTTTAGTCCCCTTCTTACATCAAATTTTCCTGATAGGCTTTTTTTTATCCTTACTCTATTGTCGGTCTTCATTAACGACATTTTTACTAGTCTAATTATCTTTTCCAGAAATCCAGGTACTCTTAGGGCATGGTACGTCTTATCACAGAATCGTAAGCTTGTTTAAGATCTATAAAGAGGAGGTTTAGCATTACCTGTTGCTCGTACATACTACTTTGAGACATGTCTAACACGAATATAATTTGATCTAAGATAAATCTACCCTTTTTGGATACTCCCTGGTATTTACCAAATGGCTAGTTTAAGTGCCTTTTCAGTCAACTTTTTATGTAGTACCTTACGAGTTCCTTGTAACGAGTACCTTATTTGTTACATATAGAAAAGTGATATCCTTGTAGTTTTCGCACACTGCTTTATCTCCCTTCTTATGAATGTGAATATTAGTATTGCCTCTCTATTCACTTCCGGCATTTCTACCCGCTTCCAGATTTTTATTAGCAGGGTACATATCCGCGTTATAAATGCTTCTCCCCCATACAGGATTAGTTCTACAGGAACACCATTGCTGCCTGCACGTTTATTGTTTTTCAGGCTATATATGATTTCTCTTCTTTATTCCACAGCAGGAGTCTCCATTGTTTCTGCCGTGTTATTGACTTCTACTACCATTTTTACTTGTTTCTTATTATTTCCATTCGATTCTTCATTAAGCAGATCTTTGAAATGCTCTTGTCATCTATCTAGCTTCCCCTGCTGATCTCCTATTAGATACTCTTCTTTACTCTTCTAGTAATTTTATTTTCTTACACTTTGGTCACTGCTCCTTTTAGGCTTCTGATAGAAGTCTCTCACATTCTTAATAATATATTGTTCTTAAGTTTCTTGGAGGTTTTATCCATATACACTTTTTTCGCGTCTCTTCTCTTGCTTCATATTTATTTCTATTTTCGTCAATTCGTTTCTCTTGTGTCAACTCGTTTCGTTTGTTAAGGCTTTTCTTGCAATCGGCAGAAAATTATTCTTTATCTTTTCTCTTCTTCTTTCATATCTTCTTCTATTATTTCCTACTACGTTTTGATGTCACTTTGGTTTTCGCTTTGAAGTAATTCATGTCTGCCTGGAAGTTATCAGCGGCGCATTTGGTCCTTAGTTTGGCGATGTATATTTCTTATAAGATATTCTCTGTTCTCTGACTTTTGGAATAATTATTAATTAATTGGTATGTTATCGGAATCTGCGTCTACCTCTCTACATCTTGTAACATCTGTTATTCATTTCGCGTCCTTGTTTTCAACTAGGACGTGATTGATTTGATAGTGTTTTCTACTACCTGAAGCGATCCATGTTTCTTTGTAGATTTTTTTGTAATTGTAGTAAATACTTATAATTTTCAGGTTGTTTTCTTGCGCAGAGTCCAACAACAACTTTCCATTCTCATTGCTTTCGTCATATTTGCTTTTTCTCCAGTAGTTTTTCGGTACGTCTACTTATTCCCCACCTTGGCATTTAAATCACCTATTTCAATTTTAATATCATATTTGGGAATTGGATTATATATAAGTTAAATCTTACTATAGAACTTCTGTTTTACATTCTAGTCTTTATTCTCTGAAGAAGCATAAACATTTATTAAAGTTAATTTTATAGTTTTATCTCTTGGTCTCAGCCTTCCATTCCGTTTAGATACTGGCTCGAACTCCACTATAGCACTTTGTAACAGATCACTAATTATAAAACCCGTTCCCAACATTCGGTTTCCTCACCACTACTTAAAAAGCCGTAGTTGTCTATCATTGTTACACAAGTTCATGAATGCTTTTTTAAATATGTTATTATATATATATATATATATATATATATATATATATATATATATATATATATATATATATATATATATATATATATATCTATATATCTATATCCGGTTTTTTAGGCGTTACGCCCGTCCGGTAGGGATCTATGGAGGAGTATCACCGAGCCGCAAGCCCTTATCTCTTGCGTACTGCTCCAACGGCCGATCAGATCCCAGCATATTCTAGTCTAAGCCGCAGATTCATCTAGAATTTTAAACTGCTGCGTTAGACTTTTTGTTTTCTGTACACCGAGCTGGGGCTCGATCCCACATCCGCTGAGCCATTCGACAGTGAAGCGAATGAGAGGCAGCCGCACAGCCCGCTGAGCTATCCGAACGACAATATAATGTGTTATTACACATACCTATTACATTTCAATTATTTAAATAATTTATTTGTATGTAAAAAATGCCTACTGAATGAAGATCATAGACCATAATTCTAAAACCATAAACTGTAGAAGCTTTTTAAGATAATATTTGGTAAATAGAAAAGATCTCACCGTAGATTTGCCAATAATTATCCAGTTGTTCTCGATACTCTTGGTATTGGAAATTGCGGGAAAGTTCATGTACCGACACCGATTTGCTATATATGCTGTATAAATAACTCACTACTTATAATGTTTATGGTAGCGGTTGAAAACTAAAATATTATGAGTATATTCACGTTAAAACTTACTCACTTTATCAAATATTTTTCACTTGTAGCATACTACACAACCTTAAAGAGCTGGGTAGGGCCTCGTGTATTTATTTTTGAATCCAGCTCGAAGGATCAGATTTTATGAACAAGAAACTATTTAGCGGACTGTTAAAGATATTAATTGTTATATATGTCGATTGGTTATTTAATTACATAAGTAAATTATACAAAATGCATAAAATTTAAAATATTTATGTGGTGGTTGCCGGTAGCTTCGTTTACTTATATACGTTCGCTTTTAAATATATTTGGACTCGAATGGAATCCCAAAAAATTTTAGTTATGATTAATTCGGACATGGTAATCAATATTTTGTTTTTAATTGATATAAATTTTTGCAGGTACTCTATGTGCTTTAAGCGATGGAATGCATTATGGTTGGAGTGCTCCGGTAGTTCCAATACTAATGAGTCCTGACTCCCCAATACCTATCACAAAACATCAAGCTGAATGGTTGGAAAATGTATTTGTAATTGGAGCAGCTATTGGACTTTGGCCAACAATGTATTCCGTAGATAAAATAGGTCGAAAAAAATCAATTTTATTAGCATGCTTTGTATCTGTTTTAGTTTGGATTACAATTGCTCTGGCGCCAAGCGTGGAATATATACTTGTGGCAAGAGCATTCGCTGGAGCGGCTGGCAATATGGCTTTCGTAGCAACTCCAATGTATATTGCTGAAATAGCTGATCAAAAAATAAGAGGGTTTTTAAGTAGTTTAATTTATCTTATGATGCTTTGTGGAATCCTTTTAATCTATTGTATTGCTCCATTTTTTCCGATATACGTTCATTGCTGTTTGGGAGCAGTGTTAGTTTTAATAGAACTCATATGGTTTTCGTTTGTGCCGGATAGTCCTTATTATTTAGTAATTAAAAGCCAAACAGAATCTGCCCGAAATGCTTTAAGGAGATTAAGACAGAATGAATCTGACGTAGAGGAAGAGCTCAAACAAATTAAATTAGCTGTAGATCGACAAAGAACTGAACGAGCACGATTTTTAGATCTGTTCCTTATAGCAAGCAATAGAAAAGCAATGTTCATAATGACTTACCTTAATTTTGCTCAACATTTTAGCAGTGTGAGCGTATTGCTAATGAATATGCACATTATTTTAGAGCAAGCTGGTTCTATATATATGGATTCTCACACAACAGCTATAGTATTTTCAGTAATTATGTTGGTAGCTGCATTGACCGGATCTGTTTTAATAGACAAATTTGGAAGAAAGTTCTTAATTATCAGTTCAGGCATTTCAACAGCTTTTTGTTTATTAACGATAGCTATTTATTTTAATTTTAAAAATGACGGATTTAATACAACTAATTTCAGCTGGATTCCCATTGCTTGCGTAATGGTATATGCTTTTACTTTTAAATTGGGTTTAGGTATGGTTCCAATAGTTATAACAGCAGAAATATTTCCTACTACAGTCAAGGCTTATGGTATGGCATTGGCAGACGGGTCATATGTTATTGCATCTCTATTATCCTTACAAGTATATCAAAGGCTTACTGACTCATTTGGAGTTCAATATCCATTTTATATCTTTACTGTGTGCTGTTTTTCTTCAATATTTTTTACATACTTTTTAATACCTGAAACAAAAGGTAAAACATTAGATGAAATCCAAATGATATTAAAGGGAGAATATAATAAACATAAATCCGAAAAAGTATAAATAACATATTATTATTTATTATTATTTTTTAAATCTGTTTATTGTTTGTTTAATGGATTATACGGATAATATAGTAAAAATAGTAAAAATCAAATGTTAAAAAGTTGCTTGCCTGTGATATCATAGATTCTGATAATAAATTAGGAAACAATGGTAATACACCCTTTTGATTAACTTATAAACCAAAAATCGTTTCTAGAATATTCTTGAACACAACTTCTATTTTACATAACTCGCAATTCTGTTATTCTTATTTTTACTATATTAACTTCCTATGACTGATTTATTCTTTCCTGCAATTTTCTATCTCCTTTTCTTGTAGATCTTCCGCAACTGCTTCCCTTCATCTTCACTTCGGTCAGCCTACTTTTCTCCTGTCTTCCGATGACATCCATACTATGTGTTTTACCTCTTTACTGTCCTCCATACTAATAAGGTGACCGACCTGGCCACTGAAATCTTTTAGCTTTGCCAAAATTGCTTATTCTCCTTCGCCGAACATTTTATAAATTTCAGCATTTGTTCTTCTCTCCCATCCCATTTCTGTCGGCTTTTCTCCAAAAATTCCCTTAAATATTCTTTGTTCCCATATTTCAATTTTCTGTTGTAGTCTCTTTGTTAACACCTGTCTCTCACCCATACGATGGAGTAGGCCACATGATAGTATACGTTCAGTGCACTTTTTGACGCATGTACATGAATCTTCTTCTTAGAGTGCCGTCTCCCTACGGAGGTTGGCAATCATAATGGCTATTTTTATTTTAGAACTTGCTGCTCTAAACAAATCAATCGATCTGCATTGGTACCAATCACGTAGATTCTTTAACCATGAGTTCTGCCTTCGGCCAACAGATCTTCTTCTTTGAATCTTTCCCTGTATTACCAGTCTCAAAATTTCATATTTTGGTCCCCTCATCACGTGGCCTAGGTATTCCAGTTTTCTGGTTTGTATAGTGGTGATCTTTATTTGTAATTCTATCAGTCCATGATATTTTCAATACTCTGCGGTATAACCAGAGTTCGAAGGCCTCGATTCTTTTTAAATTACATTTTTTTAATGTCCAAGTCTCAGCTCCATATAATAATATTGAAAATATATAACAGCGAATGGTACGTAGTCTGATCTCCAAATTTAGATTTTTGCACGTTAGGAGTGGCTTCATTCGTATAAATGCTGATCTGGCAATCTCTATTCGTCTGTTTATTTCTACAGTATGATCATTGGTTTCATTGATCAAAGTTCCCAAATACTGATATTTTTCTACTTGTTCTATCACGTTACCATTTATTGTCAATAGGTGATGTATATTTTGTGGCCTTTTTGTAATCAGCATGTACTTCGTTTTTTTGGCGTTTATAGTAATTCCCATCTCAGCACTATTTATACTCAAGCTTTCGATAAGATGTTGTAGATCCTCTATACTCGTTGCTATGATCACAGTGTCGTCTGCATATCTTAAATTATTAATTAATTTTCCGTTAACGGTGACATGTACATGAATACTGTTCCTTAAATACTTTAGGTTTAACTGTTTTGTTTCTTGCCGAAATGTACTCTTTGTTAGAATTCGACAACTTTTTCTATCCTGTCTCGATTGCGATGATTTTTCTTTTTCTTCCACGTTTCTTTCTGTCTTTATTTAAGTCGACTTTTAATTTTTCTGTTTTTTCTTTAACTTCTTCGGCTAAATCCGTATTTTTTTGATCTTCTGGGTCGGGTAAAAACTTACTGCCAGATGAATGATACGGTTCATCAATATCAGACTCATCAAAAAGACCAGAGTTACATAATGAAACGTTGCTGTGGAAAGAACTTAGATTCATTTGTTCGGAAGATGTCACTTGCTCTGATTCAGGCCAAGGTATTTGATCGGAAGAACCACTAAGTAAACATGATTCTTCGAAATAATTCAGAGTACTCAAGGTATCGTTGGTATCGTGATTTTCGTTTTGTTGTTCTTGAAATTTTTGAAGCCCCAATTTTAATAACGGTTCTGTTCTGGCTGTACTCATCCTGTTCCTGTAAAGATAGGAAATGTTATTAATAAACATAAAAAGGTCGAAATCATTAGACCGAAAGCAGAAGACCAAACTCATAAGACCGAACAGCACTTAACCGAAACCTCACTAGACCTAACAGTAGGAGACCGAAAAGCAGGAGGCGGAAAGAATTAGGTACATAACAGGGTGCCTAAAATGGTGCTAACGTCGCTCTTCTCCTAATTTATTTTTACCTTCACTAATTTGTATAACGGATGAAAATGCTGTAGGTCTAATGCTGTTCGGTCTAGTGAGGTTTCGATAAAGGGCTTTTCGGTCCAATGAATTTGCTTTACTGCTTTCAGTCTAATGATTTCGGTCTAATTGTCGTTTATTGCATAAAAAGGCATGTAATGTATAACGCAATTACCTTAATTTGTCTTAGTTTTTCCCCCAATGTATAATGCAGCAATAAGCAACAACGGCGTAACCCACTACATTTTATAGCACCAGTGTATCAACCGCTAAGTTTATTTGTGTAAATAGCAAACTACAGCTTATTATAAAACAAATGATTACTGAGATCTATAGCCAATTTGTCCTAATAAAATAATTGATTTACTTTTACTGCCAGTGCAAATACTGATATTAATGAAAAACATTTTGAGAGGTTATGTTTAATTTATTTTTACAGAATTTTTTGTTTAATTTACTTTTTTCAAACCCTACGGATTAATAGTTTAAAAAATATTATAATGCATACCTTGTCTTTTACATGAACCACTTCATAAATGTTATTAAATACTATTAGTAGTTTAAATTACTCAGAAAACTGTAACGGACGTAAAACGTGTTCTGTTTTGAAAAAGAATTATTGTAGTTTATGTTGATACATGTAACCCATTGAATAATTTTCAACAACAATGTAACCCGCACTGTGAATTACCTGGTTGTTGTAGATTTATGCATTATCACTAGTTTGACGAATGTGGATTAGAACTTTGGTTAATAGATGTCGCTAATAATAGATGTCGCTGGTTAATAGATTTCACATTTGTAAACAAATTGTGGGTTACACCATTATTGCAGAACAGGGTCCAGATAATAATATATACTAATGCTCATTTTAATAGAACTTGCTCTAATAGAATTTTAATAGAACTTTATTTTTGATGTGTCTTTAAAAAAAGTTACTTTGGATGTATGTAGTACGTATTGAACTGGAACATTTTTTCGTAGCTATAATGGCGACACATCAAAAATAACAAAAAATTATTTAAAAGCTTAATAGAAGCTGCAAAATATGTAAATGTTAGCGAATATGTAAAAATACTTTTTTTTAGATGTAAAATGTATTTTAAAATACGAATTCTAAATAAAAATATTAAAGATAATTACAATATCCCCAAGAGAAAAATCACAAAGATTGTAAAATAAATGTCTAAATGATATTAATAAAGTCTCAACTATGACCCGCTTTTCCTTTATGGTCAATTTTTTTACATTTTACCAGCCTTTTATATTTAATTTATGTTTTGTAGTAAAATTTATTGTGTTTGTAATACACACAATCAAATCGTAGATTCATATAATTCTTTAATTAATTTTACAAATTACTTATAATTTTCAAACCACATTTTCACAGAAACTAACTACATAGTTAGGTATGACTTCTTAGTGCAAGATATGGCATCGAGGTATACTTACCGTTAATAGTTAGTTTCGAAGTTGTTCAATACAGTAATGTAACAACGTTGACATATAATGCATCGTTAAAATATGATACACACAAGTCCCGTGGCTTTGTCTCGCTATGACGTCATGCGCAAAGTCGTTTCAAATTAGAACGGCAAGTGAGCATATCTTGTTTGTTATAGTATCATAATTATAATTTTTTCAGCCACCATTTATGAGCACATGTCAAGACTGACAGAAGTCAAGTCAAGTCAAATTTATTGATCACATGTGACATTATACAAAGTATATGTCTAAGACAAGTCAAAAATACAGACATACATCTTAAAATTATATAAATTAATTAAACACGATAAAACAAACTTAATAATTATTTTTAGAATATGGCTCTAGCTCACAAATGTATTGCAGTACACACCTCCGAAAGTTTGGCTGATGTAAATTCATTCGCATATCTATTGGTAATTTGTTAAATAAACTTATGGCTGAATAATGTGTGCTACCTTCCAACAAAACAGAACGATGTTGTGGAAGCATAAAGTGATTGTCTCTGAATCTTGTTGAATAAACATTAAATTGAAATTTATTGAATTCATAAATTTTGCTATGCAAATACATTACACACGAAAACGTATACAGACCAGGAATTGTCAGAATTTTGTTTTGTCTAAAGATGCCTCTACAAAAATCTCTAAATTTCATTTTATACATTATCCTAATAGCTCTTTTCTGAAGTACGAATATCTGCTCTAATTCAGAGGTACAACCCCAGACTTCAATGCCATATTTGGCTAATGAGTAAAAATGCGCAAATTATACTATTCTTAATACTGATGTATAAAGGAGACGTGAAAGAATTCTTAATGCATAACATGCGCTACTTAATCTGGATTTCAAATTAGAAATGTGATTTGACCATTTACAATTACTGTCTAGAAGTACCTCCAGCAACTTCGTGCAGTCTGTTTTATCTATTGCTGCTTCTATGGTGGCTTGATGGTTTAATAAATTATTTGACGTGAAAATAATATACTTTGATTTCTCTTCATTCAAAACTAGAAGACTTAAAGATTAAGGAAGGTAAGTTTGAAGATAAAACCAGATAAATGTGAGTTTTTGAGAAAATAAGTCGCATACCTGGGTCACCTTGTAACAAAACACGGAGTAAAAGCAAACCCTGCCTAAGTGTCATGCATAAAAAGTTTCCCGGAACCAAAGAACTCCAAAGAAATTAAATCATTCGTAGGTTTAGTCGGTTACTACCGAAGATTTATTCCAAATTTTGCCAAATACGCATTCAAAGAACTCAAAAATATTCTAATGTCAGACCCAATCATCATATATCCAAATTTCAAAGAACCCTTTTTACTCCCCTAACCCTTTTTTCACGCTAGTGCATTCGCAATTGCAGTCGTTTTGTCACAGGGTCCATTAAAAAGAACTGCCGATCGCTTATGCCTCAAGAACATTATGCAGTGCCGAAACAAAATACTCCACAATAGAGAGAGAATTTTTTTTCGCATCAAAAAATCGCATCAGCAAAATTGGCTATTAGCGACACAATGATAGCGAACAATAATTTCTATTACATTTATAATATTAGTTTAAATAGCATTTAAAACGTTAATTGAGGTTAAGAAACTTTTTATCTTTGAAATATTGCACTGTAGACCTAAAATATCACTTATTTTGTTGGGTATAATACTGTACAATATGCGCTTTGGCGTTAATGCTGGACATTTCTCCAATATATGTTTGATTGTTATTTTTTCATCACAGTTGTCACATCTTGGTTCTTGTTTGTTGGAGAATACGTAGCTATTCGTTAGTCGCGTATGACCCAGTCGAAGTCGCGTTAATATTACCTGGTCTCTCCGACTTTTTGGTAATGTGGGCCAGGGTTTTATCGATTTTTTAACATCGCGTAGCTTTGTCGATGACACTTTCACTATCACTACTTGCAGCTTCTTTTGCAGCGTTGTCTGCGTCTTCATTTCCTGGAATTCCAATATGGAATGGTATCCAAAATAATATCGCACCTTGAAAACCATATGGCAATATCTGCAATTTTTTCGTGAAATGACCTTTGAATGCAGTCTAATAGAAAAAAAAATCTATTTTTTAATGCTATATAGCAGCATCTACAACGAATTTTAAATTCGGCACCAGAAAGATACGTTCTTATGGCTTTTGTAAAAAAACCATTCTTATTTTTATACCATCAGGCATTATCTGCAGTTGTTGCTCTATGGTTCTAAAATAGGAACAAAAACTCGGATCTATCTGGCAATATCAGCAGTTAATGCCAAATAAATGCTACATTGCCTGTGACTACGTTTATCTGTTGTTTTCATGTTGTGAGTAAACAATCGTGTTTAATTTAGTTAAACGTAGTAAGAAGCAATTCAAGAACCATGAACCATAGAAGATTGAATTTTCTACAATCTTATAGGTTATTTTTTGTGTAATAAATGTTGTTGGATTAACCCTTTGTGGACAGACTGTACTTAAAAGTACCATAATGTTGTCAGGTCACATTTATAAAAGTGTCTACATTTCACTGACAAAAATCACTAGAATTTAACTAGATTAAAAAAAAATAAATTTCTATGGACAAACATAATAAATGTTATATTTTCGCAATATTTTCAATTCAAAAGTTAAAGCCCTTAACGCAAATACCAATATAATATATAACAATATCAATGATTATTATGCAGAAGGAATTATTCCAAACAACCATAATTCAAATTTTATTTAATAAAATAAAGAACGGGAGCAAAGTGCTCACGTTATTTATTTGAAACAATTATTATATAATATTATATAAAATTACATAAAATTTTGCGAAGAAAAATGTTCGGTGTTCGGAAATTACGCTACGTTTGGGACCATATTTAACACGGACTTTAATATAAGCTCCTTTAAGACCAAAAAAGACTTCTGCTCGCTATGTGAAAATTACAAAAATTCATTAGATAAATCTACATTAGAAGCAGCCTATAATACTCACCGTCAAGAAATGGAACTTAGTAGAAAAGAAAAAGAAAATGAATCAAATCTGCAAAATCCAACACTTGCATTACTGCCTGTTTTGACTTACAAGCCGTACTACCGACACTTTCAGGCGATATCCCCTTATTTTATTATAAAAGGAGATTATCAACATTTAATTTTACAATTTTTGACCTGGCTACAAATCCAGGACACTGCTGTCTATGTTTCGAGGGAATTGTTAATCGTGGTCTTGCAAATAACGTCGTGCCTGTTATCATTTTTGAGGAACCATGCCAGAGAACAGGAAATGATATATTCAGATAACTGCAGTGGGTAAAATAAGAATAAGTATATTGTCTGTCTTTATCTCTATACAATACAGAAATTGAACATACCTAAAATTACCCACAAATTTTTGATAACGGGTCACTTCCAAAATGAGAGAGAAACATGCATTCTTTGATTGAGAAAAAAAGGCGTTAGGAAGAACAATTTATGTGCCTTCGCAATGTGTCACAGTAGTTCAAATAGCGAAAAAATCAGGCGAACCCTACAAAATGAATGAAATGCCTAAATCGAATATAATCTACTTTAAAAAATTATGTAAGGAAATGGGAAACAATTATAGCGTTGACGAAGAAGGAAATCAGGTTGTCTGGAATGAGTTTGAGATGGTCAAGGTGAAGAAGACACTTGAAAATAAGTTTCAGGTTAAAACAAGCTACCACGATACAGAGGTCAGAAATAGTAATATAAGGCGAAGACAACGAGGGTTGGTGGCTAATACGAAACTAAGTAAATCATATTCGAAACCACCAGGAATATCCTCTCGAAAAAAAAAACAAGATCTGCTTTCACTATCTAAGGCTAATGTTATTCAAGAGCACTACCATAGGTTTTATACAGATTTACATGTAAACAATGGAACAGTAGAAACCAAACAAACAGATTACAATATGCATGACTTTGATTAAGTGTTTAAACCAAAAATTTTTAATAAATAAGTACAATCTTAAATAAAAAAACTTTTATTCGATATGAAACTTACTGTATCATTTTCCAAAATTAATATATTTTTTAAAACCATATGGCCGTATGTGCTAAAATACCTATTTCCTGAAGAGAATTTCACATACTCCTTACTGCGTATAAAAATATGCAAAATTAAAGATAATTATGCTAAATAACAAGTTTGTAGCTTAATTTTTGGAATTACAGTAAATAATATTAACTTTAAAAAAAATTAAAACGCTCATAACTCAACATTATGATTTTTGCAGTTACTGCCATATGGTTTTCAAGGTGCGATATCATATTTTTTCCATTCAGTTAAGCGGTATGGATTTCTTCTTTCATCTTGATGACTAAAGGATTAGTTGGGTAGACATATTGGATTGACTAGACGGAACTTAGAGAGTCTGTGAGTATGATATAATTGGTGTTATTGGATTCACTGACAGCAAGGGTAGCCTGGTATAGATCACACAGTTCAGCAGAGTAAATGGAGTACTCTGAAGGGAGTTTATATTTATTTGTCGATGTTGGGGTTATGATTGCAGCACCAGTACCTTCATTTGATTTAGAACAATCTGTGTATATATGTGCATAGTCCTTGTAGTTGTGAAGCATTGAAGGCAGATTTGATTAACTGTGAGTTTGTTGAATGTTTGTCGAAAGAAATGAGGCGGGTTAGGCAATGAGGATTCTTTATTTGCCATGGAGGAATTGAGAACAATTGGGAAAAAAATTGAGAAAAGCATTCTGGGAACGTGTAGTTT